CACATCTCAATTCAGGCTAGCCACTTTTCAGTTACTTCATAGCCACACATGGCTAGTTCTACCGTTTTGGACAGTACAGGCAGAGGCTCGATCAAATTCAGGGTCAAACTTCTGGCAAGAATACTTCATGGGTGTTGTGTTTGTCCATCAGGAGGCATACAGTGTCTGGCTGTCACTTTTTGTGATGTTAGCAGCCATTGATGCTCATTGTCTTAGAAGCACTAATGTTTTAGAAGTTACAGAGTGGTGATAAGTCTGTTATCCTGTCTGCATTTTTTCACTTGGAATATTTCTATAAAGAGCAACTTCTCTCATCAACTTTTTGGTTATCTGGTGTGTACAGTACATATAGCAAAGGTAAGTAAATGTTTGGTTCTTTCTCTTTTGACAGTTCAGAGAGGGTGGGAGCTGTGTTTAAGGCAGGTCCCTGTGTTTACAGTGTGGAGAGTGGGTGGGAGGTCAAGAGGGTGGCTGAGGGAGCCCGGGGAGGAGATGACTGCTGTCCACGTGGCTCCCCTAGCATGACGAACCGTTGGGCAGTCAGCCAACCCTCACCCTAAACCTCAGGAATCTCCTTCAAAAGGCCAGAGAAGCTCTCAGTCACCCCTACGGAGCCTGTTCTGCCCTGGCCTCTACCCTGGGACAGTCTCTCCAATCAGGCCCCCATCCTAGGCTCTCATCAGGGGCCAGGTAGGAAAGCCCACAGCCTCCCACTCCATGCAGATAGACAATGCTAGTCCGCCTGCCCTCTCCATCCTTCCTCCCTGTCCTCCTTCTACGCAGCCTAATGCCTTCCCTAGGATCCTAATGCCATTCCCAGGATCCTCCTCCCCTCCCTCTCCCTCACACACATTTTCTCTGGGACTTTGCTCCTTTCACTGCCCTGTCTTCTTCCTGAATCTTCACTTCTCCCTGCTATTGGCTCCTTCCCATTAGCATTTATATAAAATCTTCTAACATTCCCCTCCAACTTCCACCCTATTTTTCTCCTCCACTTTATGGCTAAACTTCTTGCAAACTCATTGTCCACCCCAACTGCTCACTGGCCCAGCTTCCTCACTGCTCTCCCCACCCTGAACTGGCCCTCACAGAGGTCACCAAGGGCTTCCTCTGGGCTGAACCCTGTCCTCATCTCCCAGGAACTCCTGCAGCATTTCTCCCTGTTGATCCTTCCCAGTCTCCCATGGCTTCCCAGGCACTGTGCTCGCTCTCATTTTTCTTTCTGCATTCTTTTTCCTGTATTCTGGCCCCTCCTCCGCTAACCTTCCCTCCCCCAAAAGTCCCTGCCCCTTTCTCTGGTCTTGCCTCACCAGGCTCCATACCCCTGCTCCACCTGAAGCTCCTCGCTCTCTGTACTTTCCTGTCTCAGCCCCAGGCCTGGCAGCTTCATGAGGGCAGGGACTGTGTGGGCCTTATGTACTTCTCTCTGGGGAGCCTAGCCCAGTGCTTGGCATGTAGCCTGCAGTCAGTAACTTTGGTTGAATGCATGAACACACGCAGGTCCCTGGCAGTGCCTTTGTTCCTGCTTCTCACCCTGGGTGGCCCTGCCATTTCATCCCCTTGACCCACCTGGTTAGACACAGCTGAGGGGAGTCCTCAAAGAAGCCTTTCTGGCCCTTCTGACCCCTCTACCCTGTAGTCTGTGAGTCGCAATTTATGTGGTTGACTTCATGGACTTTTGACAGTTATATCACATTTCCGACAGCTACAGATCTATACTTTCCCAACCCTCTGGAAAGATACACCACTTGCCAAAATGAAATACTAACGAAGTGCGAGTTTTCCCACTCCCTGGACAGAAACGTCTCCCAGATTTGCTCCTCCTCCTTAGCGAGGGGCTGCTGAATAGGGAAGAGCCCCTTGCTGCTGGCAGGGTGTTCAGATGGGTGGGGCAGAGGGAGTAGGCTGTGGGGCCTCCATAGGGTTTGGGGTACAGAGAAAAGAGCCCCTGGGGAGATATCAGGGCCTGGTGTGGCCTCAGGATTTGTGCCATCTTGGGCAGGTCATCCCTCCTTGGAGGCTCCTGTGGGTCCCCTTGTCAAATGGCAATGGTAACACCTTGCCTACATCCTCCACTGCTGTCCTCGGGATCAAATGTGATCCTGTAAGGGGTGGGGTCGGAGCATGGAGAGGGGTCACTGCATCACCAGGGAGAGAAAGCAGGCACCCAACGCAGATGCGGGCGGGGCAGGACAAGGCCAGGCAGCAGAGGCTCAGCCCGCGCTGGGCGAGTAGTCCTGGGGCCTCACCGCTGGTGGTGGGGCATTACTGCTAGGACGTTTACTGAGACTGTATGCGATGATCTCTCAAACGCACACCTCTTTTTACTGTTTACAGAAACAACCAGCTCCGCAGTCTCATCTGATCCTTGGACAGTTCTGGCTCTACAGGTCACTTTTGATGCCTGCTCTGGACACAAGAGCCCTGGTGGCACAACAGTTAAGTACTTGACTGCTACTGGAAAGGGTGGTGGTTCGAACCCACCAAGCTGTTCCGCAGGAGAAAGACCTGGGATCTACTCATTGTAAAGATCACAGCCTAGAAAACTATGCAGCAGTTCAGCTCCGTCACATGGGGCTGCTATGAGTCAATATTGACTTGTCGGCATCTAACAACAACCCTGGACACACCGGGCAGTCACAGACCTCCCAGCGGACCAAGAGACAAACACAGGTTCAAGTTACAAAACCCTGGGATCCATGCTCTGCCTCATTCACCCCCCACCCACACACATCATGAGCACCTACTGCGTGCTACTGAAGGGGTTAGGCAAGGGTGTATGCAGAGGAGAAGGCAATGCAACTGGCAGGTTTCTAGCAGCAAGGAGCTGGCCCTGAAGTCAACAAGCTCCAGAAACGTCTGTTGCATGAGCAAAGGGTTACATATTGCACATACGGTAACCGGGGAGTCTGCTCATATCACAATAAAAAGAGTGGCTGAGCCCCTGACTTATGTGGAAAACCACTGATGCTGGTTTCTTTGAGGAATATGGTGTTCTCTATAAACGAATTAAACAAAAAAGTTTATCCCTTAAGGCACCAAAACTTATTTCAACCACTTCATAACTTACTTCCTTAAAACATTTTATGTATTTCCCTATCAAACTAAAATTATTTTATCATTTTTCTGACACTAAGTCAGAACTGACTTGATGGCAATGGGTTTTCGGGGGTCTATCTGTAGAAACAGTAAGTCTCATTCAGCTGAATTTTTTCCGTTAGCTATTTTATTAATTTTTGTTATATATTGTACAAACCCTTTTGTCAAGGATTTTGAGGAGATGGCAAGGCGGGACCCGTTCTTCTGCATACAAAACCCTGACCAGAAGCAGGCTGCCATTAAATGGCTTGGCCTCAGGTTCGTCACAAACAGGCAGAGAGTGACAGGTGACAGAGTCTCCTTTCCTGCCATGCTCTGAACCCCAGAGCAATCACATGGGTTTTGAAAAATGAATACAAATTTGCTACTAGGGCAAGAGAAGACTCTGTCCAGGCCCAAGGAAACACCTGAGCGAGGGCTGACTTCACTGTACAGAAGAGCACAGGGGCTCAGGGAAGTCAGAGCACTGCCGGGGCTCACAGCCAGGACCTGGCAGCGCTGGGGTCTGAACACCGCTGACCTGCTGCTCTGCTCTGCAGTGTGCTCCTCGCTGAAGACCCCAGAATGCCTCCTGCCTGAGTTGTGTCTGCTTCTTAGAGCCAGGCTCTCCATTATTGCTGCCCACTACCACCCTCCATCCCTTTCTAATGTGCTGCTTCTAATTTAACGGGTACTGAGAGAAGCTCGTTAGAATTGTGTTTTGCACACAACAGCCGACCGGATCTGAGCCTGCCACTCTCCACTTGGCAGTTACGTGCTTGGGCTTGCCCACAGCTATTTCACCAACTGGATGTCTTTTTCATTTATATCTAGAGTCATGATCACTCTTTTTCTGGATTGCTGACATTGCTGGCCTCTCAAAAGTGTGGAATTATTTTATAGACAATGTATTTTTTTTATGCATTTAAAATCCACAAGGCTGAGCTGTCTACCTACAAAACTGTAATTAGATGTGCTAAGTGGGGAGGGGGGAAGCCTCTATCTACTTTGAGCAAAATCAAGAGCTCTGGGCACCAATTTAGCATTCAGCGAGGAGCCAGAAGCTGGGTTAGGGAATATTTACAGATGAGGTGGGCCTAAATAAGCTCATCAGCCAGGTGCTAAAAAAACATAAAAATCAAGCTAATTAGGCTTGTAGGCCGTGTCTCAGCACTGTGTTCACACCACCCACCACCAAGACACTTAGAAACACTTTACATTTATTTAGAGCTTATTTTTTCAAACGACCTGTTTCAGCTCTGGTACAGCTTCTCAATACGTACAGAATGACTATTTGCATTTCCCTGATCCCACCAAAGCCTGAGACGTACTACCTGAGAAACCCTTGTTGAAGGACTAGCTCCTCCTGAGGTGCACGGTGCTTCATAAAGATCATTAAGGGCTTTAACTAAAGTGCTTCTCTCTTCTAACCCTCCCTTCAACCCTGGGGGTTGTACAGCCCTGGTAGCTAGGGGGGGATTATCCCTACTTCAGACTAGGAGCCAGATTCAGAGAGGTTAAGTGGCTTTGCCCGAGTGAAAGCACAGGAAGCCTGATAACCAGTCTCAGGCAGCTTTCCCACCACGGCGCAGCGGCCTCCCATGGGAACAAAGGGGGCCGGCACTGACCGAGCACCAGCCACGTTACAGGCCCCGTACAAACCTAACTGGCAGGGCAGCATTCTCTCCAATTCTTTACAGATTAAGAAATGAGGGTCCTTAAAAGGTCAACGATTTGACCAGGGTCATAGCTGCAAAGTGGCCAAGTGCGGAGAGGCGGACGGTTGCCACAGGGCATGCAGAATCAACCTTCTAAAGACCAGATGCGGGCTGCACCCCTGGGAATGGCAGTGCACTGGCCAGTAAAAATCCAGTTTGTTATTCAATATTTATTTGGAAAACATTAGGGACACCAGGATGCACCTCTTTTTCAGACACAGTTTTTTCAAACAAAAAATGAAAGCAGATTAAACAGACTGAGCAAGTATCATTAGAAGCCAGCCTCAACCTGGCTGCAGTCAGAATTCAGATCCAACCTGCTTTAAAACCTGGAAAGTGTACCTACCTACCAGTTACTCACTGTGTAAGTCCAGATCCCTTTACCTGGCACCTAAAGTCCTTCCCCATCAGCCTGCAACTCAATTCCTACTCTCACTTTTCTTCATATCCATTCAGGCCCTAAGCACAACAAATGCCTTGCTGTTTTCCAAACACACACTAGGCTCTGCCTTGCCTCCCAGCCTTTGCCCATGTTCTCTCCCTCTGTAATGTGAATCCTTACATCCTTTTCATCTGTACTACCTCCATGGACCTTCCTGATCTTTGGGTCAGAATTACTAACTATTTTCTCTTGCCCCCTAGCATGGCTATACATCTCTCTATCATAGAATTTATCACACCAAACTATAACTGTTAATATAGCTGTATGTCCACTAGAGAATATGGCAGAGGTCATGGCTTATTAATCTTTGTATTAACCTTGTTCGCCCCAGTTCCTGGCCCAGAGAGAGCTCAATATGTGCTGAATGGCTGGCTGACTGTTTAAGAATGAGGTTTTCATAGTTAACTCGGCTTCAATATGAAATTCAAAACAATGAAGACAGGACTCAAACATAGCAGGGAAATAACATACACTTTTAACTCTCAAAATAAATACTAATCAATTTTATTTTATAAATACAGATGCTGAGTTTTTTTCCCAATTACCAACAGATCAGTTTCACATGCCATTTATTATTGGTGGTAGTTTAAAAAAATTATTTAAATAACCGGTTAGGTCAGGATAAATGGGCACCATTAGGACTGCTATAAAAATATAGCTGGATACAATCTTCCAAAACTAATATTCTGAGGGAAAAAAAAATCTCTGGAATTTCTAAGGCGGGTAAGGGGAAATGGAAAGAGAAAACACAATCAAATACTCATTTGATAATATTTGCTGGCTGGTAAGTATCTCAGCTACACGAAAACTGAAAGGGCTCTTAACAGTTCAGAAATGGATACAGTGTGGGTTTCCATTTCAATTTATATCTTCAAAGCAAAAAAAAAAAAAATTTTTTTTGTTTTTGATGACTTACAAGACTAAAAAGATCAGCAGAAGATAATAACTCATCCTGCATTTTCCACTTTAAGCACAGGCAAAACTAATCCCACAGCTTTGGAAAATGAACAGTTATTTCTGGAGACACGAAATCCTGTAGGTTCTAGATAGATCGTGGCAGAAACTGCAGGAATCAAACAAACTCAGATGAAAAGCCAAAACCCAAACTAAACAAACTCAAACCTAAGTAGTGTTTTGACGCACACATCATTGGCCACAGTGTGGATCAAGCAAATGTGGAAATAACTATTAATCAGTTCTCAGCAATCTGATCACATCCAACGGCAGAGTGCCAAGCTGTCGAGGTGAAAAGCTGTGAACCCCAGAATCAGGGAGTCGACCAAGGAGAGACTGATGGATGGAAGCCCAGAGCTCCAGGCTCCATCTGGTTGTGCAGAATCTGAGATCAACGCTGTAACCACAAGGACCCTGTACATGTTCCTCCTGCTTGGCATGTGGGAGCCAGGATGGAGGGCCTACAATTCAATGAACCCTGTCTCTGAGTTTCACACGAAGTTTAAAAGTCCACTCTCATGTCTGGGGAAATCACAAACCACATGCAATTCACTTTCCATTCTTCAATATTAACACAGCCCTTCTGAATCCCCCTCCCCATTTTGTAGATGTTACTTCATTGGAGGACCCCTGCAGCCCAGTCTGATGTATATCCAAGACTGTGTTCACCCTCTTTGACTTGAAAAAGAATGATGGTACCCCACAAAGAGGCCATAACCTTACAAATGGCTTCTACTCTAGGTCTGGAGTAACCCCAGCTCTTTATCTGGAATGAGATGGACTTCTTCAGATGAAGTTAAAGCTTTCAATTGCCTGAGGGCTGGGTCTGTCTGCTGTGCAGTAATTCTGAGTTCTCCTTACATAGACAATATGAACTATTGCATTCAACAATGTAGCTATAAATTAAAGCTGAGCCTAAGAATGCTTGGACAGAATATGAAAATGATTATGAGATTATGAGTTAAGTTGTTATGTAGGAAAAATGCAGCTATTGGAGAGCACACCTGTGGAGGTGTTTGTGTTGCTATACACAATACGTAAACTCAAATGAAGTCAACAACATTAGCTTAGATACAGGCATGGCTTTTGTTCAGGCTAGTCCTGTCATGATGCAGCATATGGAGATGTAGGTTCAAGAGGAAGTTCAAATCTGGAAAAAAAAAATCAGGTCGGGTGAAGTAAACTCAAATTTTATTCTTCTATATAATACATGGATACATGGATAAATTTTCCTTAAAGAGCTTGCAACCCTGAGGCGATGTCCTTTATGTCCTTGGGTACATAAAATATAAAGCAACAGCAAATGAAATCTGAGCTCCAGGAATGACAAGTAGACTTCAAAAACATAATTTAATATTTATGCAATTGCACACATACCAATAGTATTCTATGCCTCATTTAGTCTCCTATTCCAACTATCTCAACTGCCTTGCAGTTTGCACATTGGACAATATGACTCTCTACATATATTTCATCATATACAATGCCTTCCTTCGGACAGAAATTTAATAAATTAATGTGGGATTTACAAATAGGGATTTTGTCTGGTGAGTGCACTGTCAGAAAGCATGATGGGTTTTTGACCACAGCATCTGCCCACATAAAAACGTCAGGCCCCAAAGTGAACTGGATGTTATCTGACTGCAGTAACCTTGGCGTCCTGAAGGTTCCCTGGGATCCATCAGAGGTGAGGTTTTTAATCTAATTTTTGAGGGCTACATCAAGGGTATGGCTATTTAGAGGAGGGGGAAGGTCATGGCTACTGGGTTGAAAGAAAAACAAAACAAACGGTGAATCTGATATCCTGTTTTCAGGACTGTAAAGATGAGGGCAACAGTGGGGTCTACAGTTGACTGTGGTGCTGGGGGGTAAGGGCAGGAAGATGGGACTGGGTATAAGGAGGGCCACTGTGCTTCTTATTCATCAACCAGATGGATGGCCAAAGACCCTTCAGTAAATGGTGGAGACCTATTTCTGAATATTCAGTTTTCCAAAGTTTTATAAACTCTGGGCAAATGCTTATCAGAGACTAAAGGTGAGGTCATTATATTATCTATATATATTATCATCTTCCCTCTGAGGATAACACAGAAGCGTAAATAAAAAGCAGACAAATACCTATAAGGTGACTTGAGCTATAGGCTCTTCAAACTAGAGAGTGACTTTTGCCTTAAAACAACCGTCAAGCCTGAAAAGCAAATATTGAAAGCAAAATCTAACTTTGTCTGGCCCACTGATACACAATGATCCTGAGTCCTTCCTCAATTTCCAAAATTTGTTTTTTTGAGGAATATCCTCCATTAATATTCATTTTGTTCCATAATTATTAAAAAGGGTAAGTGCAGCTTTATTCTCATTGTAAGCAGCGACTCTGTCCTGGCCCTATTGAGTACCTTGGTCTGCTCACTTCATTTATCAGAACTCCTGCGCGGCCGGCGGAAGCTGGATACATTTTCATTCAGTGCATAGATCCTTCGGGAGAACTCTTCAAATTCTCCCAGAACTTGTTCATCACACTCCACTGCCACAGCACTGTCCACTGGGATGCAGTTGAATGCTTCTAGCTGATTGCCTGAGGTGAAACCTGTGGCTTCCAGCCCAATGATTTCTTCCGCTTGCTCCACGGTACAGCAGAGTTCAGCTTCTGAAACCGGGTGGAATTCGCCTGGGAGCTGGGCGTTTGTGGCGCCCGCCTGCTCACTGGGTAGGAGAGTGCCATTTACTGTGGCAGGATGCCCAGAAGGGGCTTCTTCTGTTGGTTCCTGGCTGGTATTCACACTTACATGGCCTGCATTTAAGCTGTTATCCAAATCTACTCCTTTTTTCTTGTTTTCTTTGGAGAAGTCCAAGGAAGTATCCAAGGAGGAGGACAGAGATGTTGTCTTTCTCTCGGACGCTACCATGGAAGGGATGGCGGTCACAGGCTGGGCTAATGCTGAGTTGTAACTGGGAGGAGGAGTTTTGTACTGGAGTCTTTCATTCTCTGAGCTGGCCCGTTTTCGGGGTCCTTTGTCTGGTGAAGGTATCCCCCCAGGAAAGCCCATATCTGCACCTCCAAATATGGAGCTTTGTCTCTTTGGAACAGGAATTGCGCTGGAGGTGTGATGTCTGTCGCTAGAAGACAAAAAGGAGACATTATTTTTACTTCAGAACTCAGTTTAAGCCTTCTGCATCCAGAGACATGAAATAGCATATTTAGGTTTGCTATAATAAAAATAGATAATAATCAATCGTAGACATTATTAATTGTACTGTCCAAGTGTAGGAAACAACATGAGGCATGGTGGGTTCAATTGTGGGAACTTCCTTCAAGAAGGATACAGGCACACTGAAACGCATTCAGAGGAGAATGCCCAGAATAGGGATGGGGGATAGAAACCATGTCATATGGGGAAGAGTTGAAGTAACTGGAGGAACTGGATCTGGAAAGAAAAGTACATGAGGGATGTAATCAACTTTCTATGTCTAAAGGACTATCTATGTTTTTATTTTTGCTATTAATATTCAATTCTTATTTTACCTTCATAAAGCAGTCTCCCCTATTCGGCAGAGAAGTTAAATGACTTGCCCCTGATAACTCAGTGCAGCAGCGGCAAGGCTAGAACTAGAACCCGTGACTCATGACACAATGATCAACAGTCTTTCCAATACCCAATGCTAATCATCTTGCATTAGAGAACTGGCAGGGAGAGGACCAAATATACTTTTTTTAAAAACAAAAAATTCACTTGGGGAATGACATCTCCGTTAGAAGTCTAGTCACACACCTTTTTACAATACTTGGTCTTCAGTGCCTTCTTTTGAGCCTGAGTTACTTTTCAGGAAGATAGCTTTGGGCCAGCGATAATAATCACTGTTCAACTACACAAAGCTTTATAGTTTCTAAAGTACTTTCATATCCCTCATTTCACTTGGTCCTCACAAAAACCCTCAAGAAAGTAGGGTATCATTATTACCCTTAAGTCTGAAATAATAACTAATAATCCGTTAATGGAAAGAGAACATCCAGACTCTGAAAATGACAGCCACATTATTCACTGTGCTAGTCAAGCCACTCCTGGAGCACTGATCAGAGTTCTAGATATTCTACTCGGGTGAAGCTAGTCAGCTTCAATGCAATCACATGAACAGACTGGGTCCAGAGACAGAGAGAGGCACAAACACAAGATCCATCTGACTAGAGTTCTTCAGATGAGGAAACACACACAGGGACGTTACCTGGCTTTTGAAAGGGTAACTACTAGGCAGGAGTCAAGGCTAGACCTGAACCTATACACTCACTCAACAAATGGCTACTACATGTGCCAGGCCCTCGGGAGGGGAAACAGATCCAAGACAGACAAGACCCTGCCTCTGAAGAGCTTCCAATCGTGCAGAAAAAGACATCCCTAATTATTTAAACAATGTATTTTCAAATTACAATTGTGATAAGTGCCCTGAAAAAGAAGGGATCTAGGCCCCCTCCACCTGTGTCCACAGCCGGAGTCCTGGACCTGGCACCCTCCCCTCTCTTCTCCTGCTTTTGAATTCTCTTGGTTTTTTTCTGATGCTGGATTATACATATGGTCTCAGATGCCTAAGCAAGGGCTATTCTCCTTGAGAAAAGGCAACCAACCACAGGGCCTCTAATCCAGGAGCCTATCAGACTCCCTTGCCTGGCTGTAAGTGTTGGTGCCCGGAGAATTCATAATTAGGGGTGGTCACTGGGGCATATGCAGAACCAGGCAAATAGACCAGTAAATTACCGTTTTTACTGCTCAAGAAAAACAAAACAGAAAACCCTGCTGCCCTTAATCTGGGTTTTCAGGTAATATGTTGTCAAAACTCACAGTAATTTAGTAAGATAGACATTTTTGCCAACCTTGTTGTTTTTACCCTACCACTTGCTGACCGTGTCCCTCTCTAACTGATTTTGCAGGGCAGCTAGGTAAATCAAACCAAAACAGAACATCAACACCACCCACAGATCTGCTCTGTGCAGGCAAGTCAAGTTTTCAGTTACCACCCCCAACCCAGGAGGCCTCCATTTACGCTGTTACCCAAATGTACACTGAAGGCGATGTCTGGAACACTGGAACACTGAAGGTGATGTTGGCGGTACGAGTGGAGGCCAGGTGCTTAACCACTCATAGCTGTGAGGGGTGAATGGCTGGCCTGATAAAAGGCAGGACTGAGGAACAGGCCTGGGCACACCAGGCACTGCTATGACACAAGAGGAAGGGGGATTTTGTAGCTCTCCCTTATTTTGAGACTCCCTAAAGCTTCCTCAACTTTGAGAAACAGAAAAGTAATGGAGTGTGACATCCCTCCCTCCTAACTACAATGGGAAGAGAACTATCACTTTCCTGAGCATCTATAATGTTCCAAGCTCTGTGCAAGGTATTTTGCAAACATAGGACCCTAACATCTACCCTATGAGAAAGACAGGCAGGAGGGTGGGTAATGTGGGTTGTTCAAGGCTGCAGAGCCCGCATCTGAACTAGATTTGGTCTGACTCCAGAGCCTATGCTGTCGGTTGCATCCTACATTCAGACTCAACTAACATTTACTAAGTGCCACTGAGAAGCTAAATGCCATTATACAGGCTTTCTCATTTAACCCTTCCATCAGAATCGACTCGATGGCAACGGGTTTGGTTTCGGGTTTATCTTATCTATCTAAGCTATGGGATGTTAGTCTTTATTTTAATGGATGGATACTAAGGCTTTGAGGGGTGGAGACTTTGGTATTTTCTGACAACCGCATTTTGTGATATTATTCTTCAGATCCCTTGGATTTTTCTGAGAACGCAGGTAATGATAGTATCAGATGCAATCTGGAAAACCCAAGTAACAATAAAATGTTCCCTCTTAGGAACCGTAAGAATATTAGTTATTTTGGGTAGACAAGATATAGGTCTACATAGCTAAGGTTTACCCTTTGATCACCATGTTTTGGCTTTTTTTTTTGTCTTTTCTTTCATTTTTAGCCACGTGAGATGAAAGCTTTCAATAATTTTTTTGCTTTCAATAATTTTTTTTATTTAAGCCTTTCTTATAATCTTAAAACAAATTAATCAAACAAAAAAGGTATTTTGTTGATGACTTCGGGTCATCAATATGAACATGTATTAGTAAGCTATGACATAGTAAAAAGATTACAGAATTTTCACTGACGTCTGTTTCTGAGGACGTGAGTCGGATAATCCCTAAGGCTGCACTTGGCGTTTTTCTGTGTCTTCGCTCACTGCCAGGCTGTCAGTACAGCTGTGTCACTGTTCCTGCCTGCAGTGGCTTCTCTTCTCTCTTTTTAAATGTTTTGCTTCTAACTTTCTGCGTTCTTATAAAGCAGATGTCCAAAGTTTTGCGTGCAAAGTAAGAGTAAACAGGATTTGAGTGATGGGCCAGGATGTCCTGGGCATAACATGCACTATTATATGAGTTTTGTAACATTAGTTTTGGCTGCTCAGGATTATTATTTTTTTATTATTTCCAAGATCTTAGCTATGTTCCAGATTTTTAAAATAGCTGAGCTCCAAACAGCTTATATGTTAAATGATTACATTAAAAATACATACAAACATACACATGCATTTTTAATTATTGTAGTAATTTACACTCATTGGAAAATTCAAAAAAATATAAAACATACAAAAATAAAAATCACTCAGGATTCTGTCACCCATCAAATAACTACTATTAATTTGGGATACTTTCCTTTGAGACTTTGATTTTACATATGTGTGCTTAAATAAAACAAACCTAAAGCTGTGTTTGTGGTACATATATATAATTCTATATCCTGCTTTTGGATGGTATTAAAACTTCCTGATAAATATAATTTTAAATGGCTGCTCTATTGAGTAGAATACCATAATTTATTTAATCATTCCCTTACTTTTGTAGATTTAGGATGTTTCTGAAATTTTAATACTAAAAAATAAACTGCTGTGAGCAGTCTTTGTCTGATTACAGTCTGACTTCATGACTTCACGAGAGGAAGAGATAGAAACTTACAGGTTTACTAATTATATGGCCAATTTTTAAAGGCTGTTGACAATTTACTTAACTTATTGAATGAAACTGATACATTCTTTAAGCTGTGAAGAATAATTTACAGGGAGTGTGTACTCTTAAAAAACAACCAAAAGAGCAAACGTGGGTGTTCTGGGGTGGAGTGGTTGCAGCAGGAAATGTGGTCGCTTTTCTTTATCCTCCACCCCACCGAGGGTCCCTATATATTCTAAGGCCCTAGATACGAGGTGCAGAGCCTGAGATCCAAGCCACTGACTGAGGCTGCCAGCTCACTGCACACATCTTGAACCTCATCAGCCTTGACTGTGTGTCTCTTCCAGCTCGGCTCAGGTCCAGACTGGAAACCTGGAAGCATGACATCTGGGCTGGGGTTTAGTGCCGCAATTAAAAGGAATTTATTAAAAAACAACAACCCAAAGATAGCGTAACTGCAAACTTACTAGGCTGTGGTTTTATGAAACATGGCACAGATGCTGAATAACTGAGCCATACTGGAGACTGTTAAGTTACTTAATAATAAACCTTTTGCTACAAGCAAGAAAGGGTTTTCCTAGGGTCACAAGCGTGAGAGAATGCCAAATAGCCTGGAGTTTAGAGGTCAAGGAGGATAGTCTGGTTTAAATTTGTCTTTTTTTTTGGTTCAAGTCTTCTCTGATCTCTCTGAACTGAGGAGATTAACCTCTTTCTCATTCTGTGAGTCCTTCTTTATTGTAGTCGGTTACCTTTTCTTGTCTCTTCAGCTATATCTAGAGATAGTGGTGGTGATAAAAAGGATGTTCTAAGACCTGGACTCTACTCCTAGCTCTGCTGCTATGAGCCCCTTTATTTGGAGCTGTAACTTAAGGCCGTGTTCACCACTTGTTAGTTATATGACTGTATGCAGTGACTTATCCTCTCTGTGCTTACGAAGTTTTTTTCTTCGTAAAACAGATCACTAGACTATGGCGAGGATTAAATGAAACAGTGCATTTAAAATCCTTGGCATATACATTGATTGCAATACTAGCTATAACTGTGGTTGCTGTCATTGTTATTAACCTCCATGGACTTCAAATTTCAAAAGCATTATCCCCATTTTACAGAAGGAGCAACTGAGGCTCAAAGCATGAATGTCTTACACAGGAATACAGGGTAACAGGTATCAGACAAAGGACCAGAATCTAGATCCTTCCTTTTACTGGTTTTCTCCTGTACAGAATACTGTTAAAAGCAGCAACAAACAGAACTCTTCCCACCCAACCCCATCTCCACTTCTTCTGCACATCAGGGAGCTAGCTACAAGAAGCAGCTAAAGAATTAAAGCAAGTATAAAAGAGTTTTAAGTACTAAATCAATCCAAAGATTTATTCTGCCCAATGTGAAACAACATTCCACCTTTTAAAATCTTTTTTTTTTGGTGGGGGTGGCGATGGCTGGGGTAGGGAAAGCTTTGAATAAAATAGAAATCCTCAAACTGCTTCTATTTACATGATCTACCAACTGCTTAGGGACTACAGGAACTTCCCAAAATCCTTTCAGGTACATTCCAATTGTCCCCAAACCTCTGATGTATCATTTTTCTGTGTGAATTTAGCTTCGGAGAGAGAGAATTTTTCTGAGAGGGAGAATTTCTCTATTTCCCCAACCTAAATGAGGAGGACCATGCTCTGCACTTTTATATCCACCATACAAATACCCTGGGGTGGAACCCAGTTCACTCTACTCCACCATCCTTGTCCTCACCATTCCCCCTCTTCCTCTTTCTGGTGGTTCTGCTGCTTTTAACGAGAAGGGATAGGGAAAGAGAAAACAAACTAAGAAAGTACTGGCTGAAAATGTGATTCCCATTTCTATCTCCCATATGTAATATTCCACATTGAGCTCCATCATTACAAAATGTGGGACATCGGTGAAATACTTTTCACTGCTCTGAACCTATGTTTCCCCTTCTGTAAAATGAAATGGGTAGATCCACCTAATAGTTACTGTAGTAAGGATTAAATAAGACACACAAGTAAAATTCTAAGTGTTAATGAGTAGGTATTCAATAAATTAATACTAATAATAAAACAGCAACTAACATTTATGATATGTTATGGGCTAAGCACCCTGTTAACAGCTTCACATGTTGTTCTCATTTAATCCTCACAACATCTCTGCAAAGTATTATGAACATCATCTTCATGAGGCACAGAGGTTAGGTATCTTGGCCGAGGTCACAAAGCCACTAGGTAGAAAAATGAGATTTAACCAGGCAGTCTGACTAAATATAAATGCTAGTTCTCTTCTTTTTCCCAATCTCTAGGACCTTTTAAGTTTTTTGTTGCCACCAAAATGCCTGCATTTAGTCTGTACTTCTGTTTGAGGGAGGGGTGAGAATCAGAAGAATAATTTTTAGGTAGTGGATTGGTACCTTTTCCTTCTCTTCTCCTCCTGCCTTCTATAAACTTGTACAATTTTTTTTGGCGGGGAGGGGACTTTCTAGGACTTGTTATACTATTAGGTATTCTAAGAATCAATTATGAACAAAAATGAATTCTGTCATGAAATGATGTAAAAGTGAAAACTTAAGCAAAAATGAAATAAAGAAAAAACGTAAAGATTTACCACATCAAGAGAGTTCTTGAAGCAGGGGTGTTTTCAGCTATTTGAAAATAATTTTTTTTTCCTATTCTCTTTCAGATTCACTTGTTTTATATGTCTACAACCGGGTCTGGCAGTATAAAGTATTAGGAAAGAGTACAATTCACCATCTCAAATATGTGTCTTTCCTTCCCTACAAAATGTTTCCTCTGAGGAACATTACTAGATCACAGCTGGTCAAAATACTAAATCTTGATTGTCTGGGTCTTGGCCAAAAACTACAGCTACAACTCGGTGCAATAAGAATACTTAAAAAAAAAAAAAAAAAAAAAGTTTAAACAACATTTG